CTTCTAAGTTTGGTAGGTATCAGAAAGGCTAACAAGCATCTAACACATTGGCACCAGAGAAGCCTGGGACTGGACAGAGAAAGGTATGTAATGCAGATGAAATGAGATATCAGGTTACATCCACAATGACTGGAGTAAAGTGGTGGGCCGGAGGTGGGACGCACAATGTATATGATTCTCACCTCCTATATTTTAGGTTATTAAAATTAATAAGGACACTATCTTAGACTGGAATTAAAAGTTAAAAACATAAATAAATGAGAGTTTAATCAGAAGAAAACATACTTCACAATTTACTAAATTACTTCCATTGGGATTTCTGCCTATAGCAGAAATTCAAACATGGGGTAACATTAGAAAAGTCATACTCTTCAAATAACTGTGTGCATGCACACTAGAGTATAAGCATCAGTGTATTTTTTTTAAGATTTTATTTATTTATTTGACAGAGAGAGAAAGATCACAAGTAGGCAGAGAGGCAGACAGAGAGGGAGAAGCAGACTCCCCGCTGAGCAGAGAGTCCAATGCGGGTGGGGGGGGGGGCTCAATCCCAGGACCCTGAGATCATGACCTGAGCCGAAGGCAGAGGCTTAACCCACTGAGCCACCCAGGCACCCCTAGTGTATGTTTTTTGATATATAAAATTATCACCTCTAGTCCCCTTATTAGTTGTTTTATTTCCTCCCTTGCTTTATAGGGATAAATTTCAATGTAATTCTTGTTTGTAATCTTTTTTATCTTTGGGGTGTTTTTGTTTTTGTTATTTTTTTTTCAGTTGCAATAGTCTAAGGGCTTCAAAAGCTGACAGTTTTTGGAAATCCAAATTTATTAACTATTTCAGCTAAAGATGTTCAGTTTATTTTGAAAGAAAAAAAAGTAACCAAATTTTGGAAGAATCATTTACAAAATATGCAGTACTGTTATAGGACATTTGTACTGATTTACAGAGTAGTGAAATAAGTTCAGAACATTTTTTTTTTTTTCTCTTTAAGGATTTTGTTTTTCTAGAAGGAACAAGAAAGCACACACGAGTGAGGGAAGTGGCAGAGGGAGAAAGTATCTCAAGCAGACTCCATGCAGAGCACAGATCTCCACAGGGGAAGACCCTGAGATCATCACCTGAGTGGAAATCAAGAGTCAGATGCTCAACTGACTGAGGCACCCAGGTGCCCCAAGTTCAGGACATTTCTAGAAATTTGATTGCTGCAGGGAAGCAATATGAAAAATATGTACTGATATGATGAGGTTTTTCCCTTTTATTCTGTTTTACATTTGATTCAACATAGGCTTGGTCACAAAAAAAGAAATTCAGTTCAGTTATATATAAAAAATATTTGTAAATTCTGAACTTAGTATGAACTAAGTAAATTCTGAGGTCTTAGTATGAAATAAGGATTTTATGTCCATTCAAGTCCTCCTTCAAGTTTCAGGTCTTTAGAAGAAGGTGTTCTAAACATGTGAAAGATCAGGGAATAGTTTTCATAAATCATTCCTGTCAACTCTATTAAAAAATAACCTTCATCTGACAAGAATGCCAGGAAACTTAAGCTAGAAGACTAGTAGTAACCAGTGAAAACATTTCTTAATATATTTATTGTAAGTAAATACATTTAGATAGATTTGATAAATATACATATATATTGACATATATATTAATAATAAATATATTTATATAATAAGTAATAAAGCTAGGATTCTGGGTCAAAGACTGTATACAAGTACTACATTTTCTAAAAAAGTAGAAAAAAACAAAATGAGAGGATAAGGAAGAAAGAAAAGAGGAGTACGCTCATTGATTGCCCTCAAGGAAACAACTGAAACTCAAAATCAATTAAATCTGACAGAGTGGGAAAGCCTAAGAAATAAAAAGTAAGAGGTAATTAGGTATTAGTATACAGGGAACAATTTGAACAAAAACACAAGTATTCCTAATACCAAAAAAAAAAAGAGAAAATTAAGCAAAACAAAATTTGTTGAAATAATTTGTCTGTTGCAATGCCCTATTCAAATTCGTCCCTGGGGGGAGGGGTTGTTTTTTACTTTTATTTGTTTACTCCACAATTTTAGTGGGATCTGTAAAGGGAGATAAATGTCTATGTTCAATATTACATGAGTAATCAAAATAATTAAGATCACTTCTTAAGCCTGGAGATTGGACTTCCTGCTGTCCATAGATAGCCAGTTCAAGTCTATAATGGAAACCCAGAGATTTCCTGAAATGATTATTAGCGACTACATGCAGAACTAGAATCTGAATCTGGGTTTGAATCCAAAGATCCACCGTTAACTATTCCATACCATTGTTTTCATAACATGGGAAATATCTCAAGATTCTATGTAACAGTATGTGTGTTCTGGAGGAAGGGAACGGGACCTGGATTTAAAGGCTATATAAATTATGCAGTGTTACTACCAGAGAGCTTCTCAAACAGTTTGTGTGGTCAGCAACGGAGTTTGGAGATAAGAGGTACTGTGGCTTGAATGGAATGGAATGTATTGTCTCTGTTTTCTTAATAAGAATGACTTAGGAGCGCAGTGGTGATTCAGTTGCTTAGGCGCCTACCTTCAGCTCAGGTCATGATCCTGGGGTCCTGAGATTGAGCCCCACATTGGACTCCCTGCTCAGCTGGGAGGGTGCTTCTTCCTCTCCTCCCAGCTCCTGCTCCCTGTTTGTCTCTCTCAAATAATAAATCTTTTAAAAAAAACGATTTAGGGGCGCCTGGGTGGCTCAGTGGGTTAGGCCGCTGCCTTCGGCTCAGGTCATGATCTCAGGGTCCTGGGATCGAGTCCCGCATCGGGCTCTCTGCTCGGCGGGGAACGTCCTTCCCTCCCTCTCTCTCTCTCTCCCTCCCTCTCCCTGGCTTCTCTGTCTATTTGTGATCTCTCTTTGTAAAAAAAAAAAATAAAATTTTAAAAAAAAAAAAGATTTAATTTTGTAGTTTATTAAAATACCCAGAAGAGGAATATAAACTTCCATATACATTATGATTCCAATTCTTTGGGGGGGGTTTTGTTGCTGTTTTTTTTTGTTTTGTTTTTTGTTTTTTGTTCCGTTTAACATTTATACCAATAAATAAATGCTCGGAGTGGGGGTGGGGGGGGACTGGAAATAAATTTATTAGTTATTTTAGTGATTCAGTATTTATTGTTGGGTGGTAGAATTATTGGTTTGCTCTTAATATATTTCTGCATTTCTGAATTATCTACCAAGATATTTATTAATTTGATTATAAAATGTAGCTGGAAAAAATGACAAATATTAAAAGCATTAGGAAGAGCTTACTAATGATGCTGGTGATGTTGTAGTGGTAGTAGACCATGAAATAAACAACAACCTAAACTTCTAAACATCTTCATCAGTCCATTTCTAACTGTGTAAGATTAATTTCCATGGCCTGTTCCTCCAGGCCATGGCTGGTGAAACTGAAAATTGGTACCACCTATTGGAAACAATCAGCTATATTTATCTTTAAAACCTTAAATTTATTTTAAAAGGCTTATGCCCTTTACCTCAGTACTGCCACTTATCAAAACTTATCTAGGAGGTAAATCTAACATAAGAAAAACAACATATAATAAAGTTGATAAGATTAAAGGAAGAACGGCCACAGTGCTATTTATTTAACGGAGTTTTCATTTATAATGATTATGAGGCCAAAATATTCAGGTTAGGTTAAATGAAAAATAACATATGGTATATATCCATGTTGAGATTACTACATAAAAATGTAATAGTTCTAGGTATAAAAAGAAGGGAATATGGAAAAAAAACAAGTCTTTTTTATTGGGGTGGGAAGATTTTTGAGCCCATCTCTCATTGACAGACTTGGTATCACTGGAAACATTTTATACCTCTTTGCTTCTATTTAAGAACTATTGATATTACTATTTTACGAATGTCAGTACACCTGTTTTTTTTTTTTTTTTATTGTATTTATTTATCTGACAGAGAGACACAGCGAGAGAGGAAACACAAGCAGGGGGAGTGAGAGAGGGAGAAGCAGGCTTCCCACCAAGCCGGGAGCCCGATGCGGGGCTCGATCCCAGAATCCTGGGATCATGACCTGAGCCGAAGGCAGACGCTTAACGACTGAGCCACCCAGGTGCCCCAGTACACCTGTTTTTAAGAAGTGTTTGCTTTTATTTCAAATGTCCCAAGTTTGGGAAATAGACAAGCTGCAGCTGGTACCCTTAGCGTGTGCTCGTTAGCGTAATACCCCGCTTTTTTAAAAACGCACTTGATGAAATCTTGTTAGCGCTTCCAGCACTGAAGAAACAAGTATTGGCAAACCGATCAAATGGAGGCTAACATGAAACAGCACCAATTTACCCCGGGGTCTTAGAGCCACAGCAACCATTTCTAGCCCTGTATTCGATCAATACGATAGATATCCTGATTTTAAGTGCTTTGTATTTTCAGAGTGATTCGGCCTCCATCATTCCGTTACCGCAATTGCTCCCGAGGCGTGCATTTCTTCAGCGCTCCAGAGATCAGGACCACGAGACCTCAGCACCAGGGAGACTTCGTCCCCGTTCCTCAACTCGTTTACCGAGCGACCGCGTTCTAGGCAGGGGATTCGCCAGCACTGCGCGGGTGCCTGCATCTCCTCTCAACTGCCAAGAGGCGAGCATCGCCAGGCCGCGATCACCGCGGTCTCAAAAACCCGGAGGCGGCTGCTGCGCTGGGGCCCAGCCGGCAGGGCGGCCGCTGGGCGGCACGAGATACCCGGTGACGAAATCTGGAGAGAGCACGTGCGTCTCCAGGATGCCATCGCTTTCTGCTTTTAAGGTGTCTCGTCTTCAAATATCCGGCGCCACCTCCAAACCCCGCCGCCAGGCTCCGGAGCCCGGCACACAGCGGCCCCGCGGCAGCGCCGGCTGCCGGCTGCCGGCTGCCGCCGCTCCCTCCGCCTCTTCCCATCGGCTCTGCGCCTGCGCGACCGGAAAATTCGCGAAGGTTCCTGAAGCGGAACCGGCCGTTTCCGGAAGCCGGCAGCCGCCCCAGCCGTCAGACCCGCGGTTGCGGCAGTGGGGTCGGTCGCGCACCGTCTTGCTCTTGCCTGGGTTCGGCTCCGACCTTGAACGGTGGGGAAAGGAAATGGCCCTGCTGTGCTACAACCGGGGCTGCGGTCAGCGCTTCGATCCCGAAAACAACTCCGACGGTAAGAGAAGCGCGCCGCCAGCCCTTCCTCCCTTCTCCCCCTCAGCCGGGGGGACGCCCTTGGGCCCAAGGGCGTCCCGGGTCAGCCCGCGAACGGTCGTCGTCCTGCCCCGGTCTCGGTCCCTCCGGGCCGCGCTCGCCCCCCACCCCTACCCGTAGCGCTCGGTGGAGGCGTCCGACCCGCTCCCCGCAGCCGCGCAGCCCCGCGGACCCATCTCCCGGTCCCACGTGTTTCCCGGCCGTCCGCTGACGCGCCCACTGGCCTGGAACCAAATACCTTTCTCCCTTCCCAGTTCCCCTCTGCTCCGTCTCCTTAGGGGAGCAGAAGTTACCCAGGTGCTGCGGGGCTCTCGTAGCGGCAGGTGTGCGCGTGTAGGTGAGTGAGTGAGACAGACGACTGGGAGGGTTGGGCAGCGGGCCGAGTTACTTCAGCATTGAAGTCCGGCTCCTTGTATTAGCGTAGAAGTTTGTTTTTCTGAAAGTCTTGTTTTCTGCTTGTTCAGTCCACTCAACTGTTATAAAGTTATTTTTTTTAAGTGTCTTGGGTTAGGAAAATTACTCTGTATCTTTACGCTAAGTTTTGATGTATCTGGCGGTTTGATGTATCTGATGGTTCATTTGTTACCCTTGTCTTAGTAGCCTTATTTGTTGCGTAGTTTTTTCTGTGACTTTCCCATTTTAATAATGTGCCACCTTTAGGATACAGTGATGGTTCCTACGTATACAGTTAAGGATGTAAAGTGAAAGTGATTAGACTAGGTGAACAATCAATGAATTTTAATTTTGAATGGTGAATGGGATAAAGTGAGTTGATTTCTTGAATATTGTGGGAAATGACACCACTTTGTCAAATTCAGTTAGCAATTATTGTGTTTTCTATATGCCAGGCATTAATCTATCACTTGTTACATCATCTCGTTTAATCTTCGCAACACCCCTATGAAGTGCGTGTTAATGTATTTTAAGGGGAAGTGGGGTTCAACATGGTAGCACCATGGTTCCTGCATTGTGAAGGAAATGAAAATCTACGCCTTTTTAAATCTTTTTCACCTCTGAGTTGTCCGAAGGATTTACTTGATGCACAGGTGAATTGGTGACTTAATTTTAAAAAGATAAGGCTCGGGGCACTTGGGTGGCTCAGTGGGTTGCCTCTGCCTTGCGCCCAGGTTATAGTCTCGGCTTCCTGGGATCGAGCCCCACATAGGGCTCTGCTCAGCGGGGAGCCTGTCTCTCCCCCCCCCCCAGCCTGAAAGATCTTAAAAAATAATAATAATAATAAAATAAGACTCTTGGCAGAATTCAGTTGATAAAGTTGAATCTGGTCTTTCAGTCTTTGTACAATATTCATGTTTTCATCATTGACATTTTTATGAAGTTATTCAAAGAGAAAATTGTGAGATTTCAGTGGATGACAGAATCGAAGAATAAGAGGTTTTAAAGCCTTTGCTTTTTTGGGGGGGGGGGTGTTTATTTGACAGAGATCACAACTAGGCAGAGCAGCAGACAGAGGGAGGGGGAAGCAGGCTGCCTGCTGAGCAGAGAGCCAGATGGGGCTTGATCCCAGGACCCTGAGATCATGACCTGAGCTGAAGGCAGAGGCTTAACCCACTGAGCCACCCAGGCACCCCTAAAGCCTTTGCTTTTGGTAACCTTTGCAAAAAGTAAATTGCCTTAGTGTCTGCCATATTTTACTTTAATATTAAATAAAGGGAAAGACTGAGGCTTTGTCTTAGGACAATAATGTCCCAAAGTAAAAATGTTTGTTATAGAATGTTCTATACCAGCCTGAAATTATGAGGGAGATACAGCCATTTTCTGGAAGTCAGCAGCGTGTGTGTGTGTGTGTGTGTGTGTGTGTGCGCGCGCGCGCCTGTGTGTCTGTGAGAGAGAGAGTGTGTGTATTATGCCTAGGAAAGAGATGGGCGTTGGGGGAGTGGGAAAATGAGAGGAGTAGACATTCAGGGGTTGTGTGATCAATACTAAATTCAGCAGGGAGCTCCAGTAAGGTTGTGGAAAGTTTCATTGCTTTAGCAAAATGGGGGTTAGAGACTTAACTCCGAGTAAGTTGTTTCAGTGGTAAGTTAAGAAAATGGAGATAGAAAGTAGAAGGTAAGAGCTAATAGTAAAGTGTGGACTTGGTTAGGAGAGTTTGTTTGGAATGGGAAAGGTTTGACCTTCGGGCAAAAAGTATCCTTCTAAGGTATCCTTGTAAGCTTATACCTGGTTTTAGTTTGAAACACAAGTGAAATTAATGTTTAAAGAAGACAAAGTTGGTATCTTCACATATTAAACAGTTATTCTAGAAAAAGCACCACTTCACAATTTAGTCCATATATATGGACTAAATTGTATGTGTATATTATACACATATACATATACATACATATGTATATTTTATATATGTGTGTGTGTTTGTGTGTATATAGATATAGATATAAACTGAATCAGCTGCTAAGAGGCAGAGCCTGTATTTGAGCCAGGGTCAGACCCAGAATGAAAAGCCCTTGGCTCTTAACTGCTACAATGTTACCCATAAAATACAGCTTTGAGCAAAACTGGTAAACCTGATAAAGGCTAGAGAGGAAAATAACCATCTGCTTGTTATTTACATTTGAAAGCAGTGATTGTCAAATTTTGTTGCTACTAGTTGTAGGGTTAAGACCTGATTCAGTCCTGCTGCCATTCTGCCCAAACTGACCATTAGGATAATTATGCCTCTTACAGTTGTTAAGCATTATGTATTTTATGTATGCCTCTGATATATGATATTTAATATTTTAAAATACTCTATTTGTTCTCTTTTTAATTCTGTTCTCAACTTACTATCCCTCTGCATATTCATTTCTACTTTGAATCTCCTTTTTCACTCTTAATTCTATTACTTCCCTCAATTAATAGTTTGTTCTTATTCCATGGGTTTACTTACTGTACAATGAAAATACCTGACACTTTCCACTCTATTAGCCTAACATAGTATCTGTGTAATACCTGGTTACTAAGGAAGCCATACTGTCTATTAATAAAGGAGTAGGAAGATTTCTGTAAGTACCAGGAATATCATTTTAAGCAACAGCAGGAATCAGTGGTTGTGGGTAATTAAAAGCTAAACAGACAACAAAAGGTGGGGCAAAGTAGCCTTATAAGAAAATCGTGCAGATGTGGAGCTGACCTGTTTTTTCTAAGCTCAGAGTTGTATCCAGTCAGGAAATAATTGTTTATGATTATCTGATTTTTTACATGTAATATTTCATATTGCAAACTGTATTAAGCTTATTTGCATGAGTTAGTGAAAATTGATGGTGTTATGGGGAGAGGTAGGGAAATACAGAATAACAATCAGTGGCAACCCTGAAAATAGACTGTAGAACTTAAACATCTATTGAATGAGTTTTGTATCTAGCTATTGATACCTGTCCACAATAGTTAAATTAGCAATTATATATTACATCAGTTTTTAAATTTTTGAGCATATCCTTCTAAAGTTTCTTTTTAGAGAATCTCTTGGGCAATCTGTGGATCAGTGCACATAAGAATGCTTAAGTTTGATAGTATTTTTGTAAATAGAATTGGAAGGTGTTGGTCAAAATCAGAGCTTGAAGTTTTGGTACTACAAATATTAAAGGAATAGAATACAATTTGTTACACTTGCACTATTCTGTATTTTTATCTACAGCTATCATACTCTTGAATTACATGTTTAGGTATTGCTGTTGTAATGCAATACTATATTAAGCGCTGTGTGCCATGGATAAAACTCAGGCATTTGTGAATTTTTAAGGAAAAGCAGAGTATTACCTTCATTTGGAAAAGGGATTAAATGTTAACATCTGAAAAAAATAATGATTTTTTTTTTTTTAATTCATAGCAAAGTTGTATTTTTTCTCCTTTCTTTTTTTTTGACCAGATGCTTGCACATATCACCCAGGTGTTCCAGTCTTTCATGATGCCTTAAAGGTAAGAACCTGGTATATTTCATTCTCTTCATATTTGTGTATGAAATTTAGAGGTATAGGGCAACTGTGTGGCTCACTTGGTTAAGCGAGTCCCTTCGACTCAGGTCATCATCCCTCAGTCCCAGGATCGAGTTTGCATCTGCTCCCAGCTCCATGGGGAGTCTGCTTCTCCCTCTGACCTTCTCCCCTGTCATGCTCGCTGGCTCTCGCTCGCTCTCTCCCTCTCAAGGAAAAAAAATCTTAAAAAAAAAAAAATTAGAGGTGTAATACGGAATTATTTTTTTTCCTCAGCTTGTGACTTTTTGCTTTCTTTTCTTTTTTTTTTTTTTTATAAACATATAATATATTTTTATCCCCAGGGGTACAGGTCTATGAATCACCAGGTTTACACACTTCACAGCACTCACCATAGCACATACCCTCCCCATAACCCCACCCCCCTTCTCCTACCCTCCTCCGACTTTTCTTAATGGCCGTTTTGGGGTGCTTTAAGCAAATACTTCATTAAAGGCAAAGACAGTTGATGGTGATCTTAAGATCTTTCTCAGTTATAAAATTATGTTATTTCCATTCCAGCTCTCATTTTCTGTACTCATTTCTTTTTAATCTTAAGGGGAAGTGAAATAAGTGTATTGAATTTTAATTTCTTAACCTGTCAGACAGCTACTGTGTAATAAGAACAGCTCTGGATTTTCGGAAAGATTGTTATAAACAGTAAAGGGTGCCAAACTGAGATACCACCTGTTTTCCACCTGTACTTCCTTGGTGTTCCAGAGAATTAGAGAAATAATAAAATGTTGTTTGAACAGGTTTTTCTTGGTGTGTTTATTGATCTTTTATGAGTTATGATAATATGGTAACATTTATCTCAGAAGAAAATGTGGTGTGGCTGCCGTCATTTTATGTGTTGGTACTTTGGTTTTAGGAACATAAGCAGTCTTACATGTTTAAATATTGTTGTTGCGTTTTGAATGTCTAATTATCCTTCCAAGGAGTAGTTGGACCCTTTTGGTATTTAACCCGTAGATAGCCAAGTGTTAATAAAGATGTATAAACAGATAACGAGTTTATGTTAGTCTGGTTAGTTCTAAGTGTGGGAAACAGAACAATCATTCGTTAGGGCAAGTTCAGAGCTGACTCTTCTTACATCTTTTTAGCTGCTTTACAAACTTTTGGGGGGATGGAAACTGGTTCTGGGAAATACTCACTTTTGCAGAAGAGTGAGGGGAATCTTTCCTGAACTGTCATTTATTCTGTTTATTTTTCTTACTGTATATTTTTCTTTTTCTTTCTTCTCTTATGGTATGTTACTGTCTCCTAGCCATAGATGTATTTCACCTTTGTCTTTAGCTTTCTATTTTCTCTTATTTAGTGCATGTGTTCCTGTCCTTAAACGGCATCTCTGTGCCAGTGGCTTCTGTAGAACATTTCATTTGCAACTGCAAACCAGTTCACTTGAAAGTGAACTCTTATTCCAAAAATAGCCTGCACTCAACTTTGGTGCTGCTAGTAATGATGTCACAAACTTTCTAGTCATTCAGTCCATTGCTCTTTATTTTATTTTTTATTTTTTTTTTAAGATTTTTTTTCCTTCTTTTTTTTTTATTTTATTTTTTATAAACATATAATATATTTTTATCCCCAGGGGTACAGGTCTGTGAATCATTTTTTTTTTAAGATTTTTTAATTTTATTTATTTGACAGAGATCACAAGTAGGCAGAGAGGCAGGCAGAGAGATGGGGGGAAGCAGGCTCCCCACCAAGCAGAGAGCCTAATGCGGGCCACAATCCCAGGACCCTGAGATCATGACCTGAGCGGAAGGCAGAGGCTTAACCCACGGAGCCACCCAGGTGCCCCCATTGCTCTTTGTTTACTACCTAACTGTTAATCACCCTGTTGAATTAATCTTAAGGACTTCACTCAGAAGTATTTTCGTCTCTTTTCGAATCCTGCTGTTTATTATTGTCTCTATAAATATCTCTTGAAGACCTGTTTTTTCTAATACTATTGGATTTCACCACAAATACATAGACGGACAAAATAGGTAAATCAGTGTAATGATTTCTGTTTCCAGTTTATTGGCAGATAAGTTAAACATGGCATATGCAAAAGAAAGAATATTTTAATATTCAAATTAGAAGTGGCATAGACAGAGAAGAGACAATTCTTCTTAAGAAATGACAACCTTATACTCACATACTTAAATTTCGCTTTCATTTATTTTTAAAGATTTTATTTACTTATTTGTGAGAGACAATAAAAGGGAGCTGGGAGAGAAATAGAGGAAGAAGCCGACTCACCACTGAGCAAGGAGTCTGATGTGGGGCTCGATCCTGGGATCATGGCCTGAGTCAAAGGCAGACACTTAACTGACTAAGCCATGCAGGTGCCCTTTTCATTTTTTTCTTTTACTGAGGACTGCCATAGGTCGCAGATTGGCATTTGGGAACAAATATTATGTATGTATCCCTATATCCCCAGAATATCTGCTGTAATTATTTATTTATGGTTAAGACAATAAAGCTTTTTCTCATACAGAATAACTTTTCTGATGACTATATTATCAATGCTAACTAAATACTATATTTTAAGGTTATAGTAGGTTTTCATCTATATCTCAATTCAGAGTAAAAAGAATTCAATTTCAAAATAAAGGAAAATTTAAATTATAGTATATTTAACTTTTTCTTTAATTTTGTAAGAAAATAGTGTGAAAATAATCACTACCAAATTCTTCATATAGTACATTGAGAAAAGCAGTGAGGCCCAGATGGAGAAGTGCAAATCCTAGCCTCTAGTCTAATTTGGAACATCCCAAGTCTTGAAACTGCCGCATTTTTGTTTTCTTATTCTTTATGATACATTGGAATTACAGATGACAGCCTAAAGCCATTTTTTGGTAAGCTACTTGATCTTTTGTTTAGTAATCACACATAGCAGTTCAGTTTCTATATTTTTATACTTGTCACTAATAAGATCCCTTAACCTTCAAAGAGCTAACAATTCTTAGGTTCCTATGCTAATCAGCCTGTTTCTGAAAATAGAATGCTTATTGTTGGGGAACACCTACAGTGAGTTCTTTAGAAAATGAATTATTATCGTTAATGTCGCTAACTTTCTGGATTTTTAAAGTAAAGCACTTCACTTACTCCCCATATCCTTTAAAATATATGATGCCTTTAGAAATTATAAAATGTTTCTCTTCTAAAAATCAAACACTAGTCTTGAAAAAAGAAGCGATTTTTATTTCCCTGTATTAAAGTACTTCCTTTTGTAATCAGTCACAGCACATATCACCTTTAACATTGGTTAATTAGCTTTTTTTAATCAAAAACTAAAAATCATTTTACTTGATTCATTTATAACACTTCACCTTTATGAAATCTATATATGTGCAAGTCACTGCCAGATTCAAGGACATAAGAGCAAGTAGACTTTTTGTGGGTTATTTTCTATGCATATTCAGTTTTCAGGGTTGTTTTTTTTTTTTCTGTTTCATAGGGTTGGTCTTGCTGTAAGAGAAGAACAACTGATTTTTCAGATTTTTTAAGCATTGCAGTAAGTATCAAGTTTTTTTCCTAGATTAACTCCTGAGAAAGTATAAACAGTGGGAAGCTCCAGATTTGAGGAGTCTGATTTGGGACTTCTGTTGAGTAGTCTGTTAATTTGCACATAGAGCCTTTTTTTTAAGTGGAGCTCACCTGCTTTGACAGCCTTTAAAATAAGGGATTTATCCATTTTAGAGATAAAAGTTTCATGATACTAATTAGCCACCTGACAGTATAGGTTTGTCCTTGATATGAGTAGTCTTTAAAGTACATCGAGAAGGAAATGATAAATGCAAGTTAAGGAATTTTTATAGTGAGGAGCAATAGGTATTTATTAAATCTAAGATACTACCAAGATGTATGCCCTTAAGAAAAAACAAACAAACAAACAAACAAAAAACAAAAGCTGTTAAGGAAATGACTTGCCATTAAAATTAAAATTTCAGGGATGTTACAATGCATGTTTGACCCATCTGCCAGATTTGACAACTACTCTATATTACTTAATTCTCTCAAAAAGTATCTTAAGTGCCAATCCATCTGTTTTGAGGAAACTAAAAAGATTCCCTTGCTCAAAGTCAAATAGCTAATAAGGAGAAGAATTAGGGCTCAAATAAAGGCCCTTTTGAGTTTATAGTTTGTAGAATTCTGTGTGAGATTTCCAGAATTTTACTGTAAAAAAAAGTTTATGCTGTGTATGTAGGAGAACCTGATAGTCAGGAAGTGTAATTTAATGGCTTAAAATACATTAAGATGTAAGAACTTATTTATAAATATTGAAAATTTAGAGTTCTGTTTTTAGTTTCTTAAAATAAGTCTGTGGAGAAAGCATACAATAGAATTTATTAATAAAGAAAACTAATTTTTCTATCATGGCACGTGAAACAGATTCTAGGATAACTCTTCTCTCTCCTAACAGGGCTGTACAAAAGGCAGGCATAATAGTGAGAAGCCACCTGAGCCAGTCAAACCTGAAGTCAAGACTACTGAGAAGAAAGAACTTTCTGAATTGAAACCCAAATTTCAGGAGCACATCATTCAAGCCCCTAAACCAGTAGAAGCAATAAAAAGGCCAAGGTACACTTTGTATGGTTGTATGTTTTTATCATGAGTGGATAATACATTTGTTCTTGGTATTTTATGATTTTGCATAATACCATTTATAGCTGTTATGTAGGTCACCAACTTGTTATCTTTTGGATTTTCCCTTAAGTATACCTTTCATTTTTTCCCCCTTCAAGTTGAGACCATGTAGACAGTAGACTTCTCCTGTATGTTTGTTCCATATATCATCGTAATATGTTAGAAGCAGAAGAGCCCACATCTGCCTTATGACTTGACATGTCTTTTTCACTGTAGCATAGTGAAATTCTAGAAAGGAATTGTCAGAGAATCCGTTTGAGTTGAAAAAGAATTTTAGACATCTTCCTCTTTATTCCCCTGCTGTTTTACTGATTATCTTCTAGGATATTCCTGAGAAGGATATTTAGTTTCCTTTCAAATAATTCTAGTGAAGAAGAATTTACTTTCATTTTAAAGTAAGCCATTTTATTGTTACTAAGTGTGTATATTTTTTCCTCCTATTGAACCAAATTCTCTTTCATTTGTCCATATTTTGTCACTAGAACAAGCCTAGTCCTCTTTTACTTTCAGATACCTGAAAACTGATAATTTTGCTATTAGTATTAATTTTTTTTATTTATTTGATTTAGATGGCAGATCTGTTAGAGTACTTTTAAAATACCATTTGCTCTTTTTTCATAGAATTACAAAGATTCTTCATACTTCCCTTTTGGTCAACTAAACTCTGTTTCACAGTCTCACACATGGTGTTGGCTGCCACTGTCAAACAAGGCTTCCTTCATTTTGCGTTTGAGTATTGCTTTAGAACCAAAATATAAGACTTAGATGGTTTTTGGCCTCAAATATGGCCTGAGTTGATTTTTTTCTTTTTTTAAGATTTTATTTATTCATTAGAGAACGAGAAAGAGCAGAAGCATGGGGAGAAGGAGAGGGAGAAGCAGGCTTCCTAGTGAGCAGGGGGGCCAATGCAGGACTCCATCCCAGGACCTGGAGATCATGAGCTGAAGGCAGATGCTTAACCATCTGAGTCACTCAGGGACCTCTCCTCGAGTTGATATTTTTATTCCCATAATGGGCCTAATGGTTTTCATGCCTTTTACTTTATTGATCTTAAATAAATTTTATAGCATATTGAATAATACTGGACCAATACAAGAGGCCTGTGAGACTTTTTGATAATTCGTTCGTTTAACCAAACTACTTAAACTGATTTTTATTCCATCTCCACCTATTCACAATCATGAGAGACTTTATCAAGTGCTTTGCTGGCCAATTTGCCAGTAACAAAAAAAAAAAAAAAAAAAAAAAAAAAGAAATTGAGGAAAAGACAACTTTGGCATGGCTCATTTGTAAGTATTATAGTGGTGTCTACTATAATTAGCAGTATGAATTAATATTTATTTTAAATAATGGACTTTATTTAAGTGAGAGATACTAAGTTTTTTCTGTAAATTCATTTGGTTGTATTGTAGAGATTGTGGGAATATAGGTTTTTATGTTCTGTGTTATTACTTCGTACATCAGTTGTTTTCATTAAGGATGTGGATTGAATAATTTGGGATTTCTATTTTTGTTGCATTTGTTGATATTCTTAATACTTACTGAATGGCTTTATATAAAGTGTACACGTAACACTTTAACCATTACGAAGTGTTAGAGGGTGGTATTGATTTTTAACCCTACTTAAATTACTTTGTGGTATAATTCTATCTGAATGTATGGATGCATATAACCAGTGTCCACACAAAGTGAATTATCTCCTCTGGTAGGAATATGGATTCACTTAGTACATATTTGTTGCCTGTTAATTATATTCCCCAAAAATAAAATTTGTATTCTTAGCATTTTGCTTGGGTGTGGAATGTAAAAGTACTTTATGGTTCCTTCTTGGCAAATGTGGATTCCTGTTCTTCACTTCCCATTAGACTTACTGATTAGTAATTATTAATGTATACTAATTAGTAATTGCCATGTTGGCAATAGCATGATTATTTGAGCCTTAATATATTTATTTATGTATTTATTTATGGGGGGAACAGAGGGAGAGAGAGAAAATCCCAAACAGGCTCCACACCCAGTGTGGAGCCTGACTCAGGACTTGCTCTCACAACCCTGAGATGTGACCTGATCTAAAATCAAGAGTCAGGCGCTTGACTGACTGAGCCACCCAGGTGCCTGAGTCTTAGTATTTTAATTTCAGAATTTTTCTGTTAAAACTTGAAAGTATAGTTACATATAACAGTTATTTATAAAATACTATTTAATAGGAAAAACTTGATTCACAAAACATTGGGGTTTTTATAGATTCTTAGTGTAATTTTAGTAGAAAAAAATATATATATATGTATACATATGTATATTTTGGTACGTCAGTAGTGGTAATAAAATTTAAAAATTCTCCAGCCCAGATGAACCAATGACAAACTTGGAATTAAAAATAGCTGCCTCGCTAAAACAAGCACTTGATAAACTTAAACTATCCTCGGGGAATGAAGAAAATAAGAAAGGTAAGATTTCATTTTGTGGGTTTTTTCTGTACAATTAACCAGTTATCAAAAAGAGATAGCAGTATAGTTCAATGAATATAAATATAAAAAGGTAGCCCATTATAGTAAAGAATTTATTTTTGTTTTCTAAATACCAGTAACCTCACAAAATGAATTGGTGGTTTATTTCATAATGTCTTTATTAAAATGAGAAACTGCTAATTAAACATTTTTATTCTGTGGTTCAGTAGTTTTTAACTGTTAAATTTATTTGATAATTGTAAATGTTTCGTTGTGTGTGATATAAAATATATTCAGTATATTCTGACCTACATTCAATACCATGGATGTAAGTAGTACCCATTTCATGATTTCTCTCTGATAGGGTTAAGATTTTGGACATTATATTACATTATAGAATAGAAATGTGTCATATATCATTTGGGGACATGGGCAAAACCTAATCACAGTAATTGATTTCTTATCAGCTTTTTAAATATATTAACTGAAAGGTCACTTAGAAAACTTAATAATTCAAAATTGTTTTAAAATTTCAGTGTATTTTAGATTCAGTATTTTTCCAAATACTTGTTTTATGAAAAAGGTTATTTAAGAATGACACTAAAGTATTTTAATGTTTCTAATTTGATTTTGTTTTCTTTCTTTTAGAAGAGGACAGTGATGAAATTAAGATTGGGACCTCATGTAAAAATGGAGGGTGTTCAAAGGTATATATTATAAAATTTGTGTTGTGTTACGGAAGTAAAATAATTTTTGAAGAAGAGGATGCAATTTACTGATTCAGTTCAACAAACATTTGAGTGCCTATCACATGTTGGTCAGTGTGCTGTGGTCTAGGACTGTGAACATGGATAAGAGACTTGGTCTTTGACAAATATATCTGACAGAATCGTGGAATAAGTAATTCTAAGTCAGCATTTACTGAATACTTACTGTGTGTCAGACATTTTGGGGGTGGCTGGAAATACAATATCAAGTAAAGCAACAACTTCTGCTGTTGTGGAGCTGATAGTCTACTTTAGGGAGAAGGATAACACATAGATAATTAAATATTAGGAATTCAGGTAGATACAAAGAAAATGTAATGAACAAGGAGAGTAAAACTATTAAATAAGGCTGTCAGGGGCACCTGGGTGGCTCAGTGGGTTAAAGCCTCTGCTTTCGGCTCAGGTCATGATCCCAGGGTCCTGGGATCGAGCCCCGCATCAGGTTCTCTGCTCAGTGGGGAGCCTGCTTCCTCCTCTCTCTCTGCCTGCCTCTCTGCCTACTTGTGATCTCTGTCTGTCAAATAAATAAATAAAATATTTAATAAATAAATAAATAAGGCTGTCAGGAAAATCCTTTGTTAAGTGACACTAAATCAGAAATCTAAATAATGAAGCAATGAGTTATGTAAACCTCCAAATTGATAGGGGAGCAGTATGTGTAGAGCCTTTAAAGCTTGGCTTTTCATGAAATTATGGGAAAGGTCAGTGGGGCTTGGTCAGGGGTGGAAAATATGAAAGGTAGGGGTAAGTTGGGGAAGCACAATTATGGCAGTCCTTATAGGGCACAGTGAAGGGTGTGGGCCTTTTTTTTTTTTTTTTTTTTTTTTTTGGATAATGGGAAGAATTCTCTTATTTTTTATTTATTTATTTATTTTAAGATTTTATTTACTCATTTGAGAGAGAGACAGAGCACAGGCGGAGGGAAAGGCAAGAGGAGAAGGAGAAGTATACTCTCCACTGAGCTTGGACCCTGATATGGGGTTTGATCCCTAGACCTAGGGATCATGACCTGAGCCAAAGGCAGATGCTTAACCATCTGCACCACCTAGGTGCCCTCACATTCTCTATTCTAAGGAGGGGTTCTAAAAAGACCTCTGGCTGATAATCTGGCATACATAATGGGGCACCGGGGAACTAGAGGAGGGGAAACCAGCTAGGTTGCAATTGTGAAAGACCAGGCAGTAGGGTTGGAGCTTATTTTTTAGAAGGGGTTAAATGTGGGATATACTCAAACATTTCAGTGAGTTTCCCCTACCTCTCTATGTGAAATTGCATGCCCTCCAATATCTCTGTTCTCAACTATCCTCCTTTTCTCCAGGACACTAATCACTTTATAACACACTACTTCTTTTGCATATGTATTTTGTGATCTGACTTTCCCTTCCCTTCCTTCTCTCATGTAAGGTTTACAAGGACAGAATTTTTTTGTTGTTGTTCTTTGCTGTATCTTAAATGCCTAGAGCGGTGCGTGTCTGGCTCATGACAAATGATGCAGAACGAATACTATTTGGAAGTATTAGCAGAACTTGCTAATGAACTTTAAGTGGAGGGGACATGGGGCTCCAACAGCTGGGTGACTGATGACACCGTTAACCAAGAAGGAGAAAACAGGTTTTGGGGAGCGGGTGTGTAATTTTCCCTCATGTTAAGTTTGAGATCACCTTGCTTATTTAGGGTTGGAAATGGAAATGTATTTATATGTATGTAAGGTTAAAGTAGTAGATAGAAGAGAGTAACTGAATACTGGGCTAGAGGAGACAGTGCAAGTGGGAGGGTGGGTAGTGCAGGAAGACCAGAGAGAAACGATCTCAGACAGATTTTGAAACATGAATGCCAATTCTGTAAATGGACAAAAAGGAAGGATATCTCAAGCAGAGGTGATAGCAGTATACAGCAAACAAGGAACAGTTTATAATGTATAAAATTTGTTGGTGTGGAGATTAAAAGAGAAGTTGTTAAGGACCAGATCTTTAAAGGTTTTTATAGTGCTGAAAAGTTAGAACCTGCTGTAGGTTAGAGAGGCCCTTATTTGATCTTTTTCAATGAAATGTAATATTAAAAAGTATACAGATGTAAGTGAATTTATAGCTCAAGGGATTTTCACAAAGCAGAGCCCTCCTTATACCTTCTCCCATTTATTATTTTCTCCCAAATATAATCACATTTTTTATCAATGTTTTGCCTGTTTTGTGTTTCTGAGCGTAATGTGAATAGAATCGTAGACCAGGATTCTCACTCCTGTTTTCCTTGGCTTAATGAAATGTGTGTTACAGTTATCTTTGTTGCATGTAGCCATAGTTTGTTCATTTTCATTGTCTTAAAATGTGCTGCTGTGTGAATGTTGCCCATCAGCTTACCCTTTCTATTGTCCTTTAAATATTTTTGTTTAATGCTACTATGAATATTTTTGTGCCTGACTTGGGGACACACGGATACATTTCTATTAGGTATATGACTAGAAATGGAATTGCCAAATGATAGTGTGTCTGTATCCAGCTTTAACAAATAGTTCCTCATAGTTTTCCAAGATCATGGTCTTTACACATCAGCTAGCAGTATATGGGGCTGATTCCATTTGTTCTACACCTTGGTTAACACTTTGTAATATCAGTCTTCTATATTTTAGCCATTCTGTTAGTGCGTAGTGTTGCCATTGTGATTTTAGTTTGCATGTTCCTGATGATAAGGTTGGGTACCTTTCTGGGCGTTTATTGGTCACTTGGATGTCCTCTTTTTGTGAAATGTCTGAAATCTTTTACGTATTTTTCTTTCTCTCAGTTGGCTTTTCTTTTTGGTTTTAGGAATTCTTATTATTTTTAACCAGAGAGAGATACTGTATATTTTCACTGTCTTAATAATGACTTTTGATAAAACAAAGGCTGTTTAATTTTAATGAAACCCAATTTGTCCATTCTGTTTGATGAATGCTCTTCCTATTCTTTTTAAGAAGTTTGTCTACTTGAAGGCCATGACTATTTTCTAATATATAGAGGCACTTTTAAAATGTACAAACCACCTGGAACTGGTAACTGTAAGGTGTGTGGTAGATGTAATTAAACGACTGTTATAAGAGAGCGATAACACGTTTTAATTAGAGGTCAGAAATGGAAGGCAAAGAAAAGAATTAGAATCTGTTAGTGCAGTCTTATTGTCTAAAATCTGCTAGGGATCATGAGGAAGGTTAGAAGATTAAACTGATAGATATTTTCAAGCTAAATTGGCAGGATTTCATGATAGAAAACATGGACGGAGGGAGAGGACTGCGGTTTTGCTTTGGGAGACTGAATGGATATGGTGCCATCACATAAGTAAGAAGAAGAGTAGGAGTTGAGGGGGCAGTAGTGATAAGTTCAGAATCTAACATAGCTGATTTTTATGTGCTTATGGAATCTTTAGGAGATACACAGGCAGTACGTTGGATTTACCAAAAGTAAATATACAGAATTTTATTTTCTGTACTTGTAGGTGGTTGCTATAAATACCAGAGTAAAAAATATACTGCTGGCTGCATCTGTGTTTTATTAACATTACTTTTTGTGAATTCATCTGTAGAGCCTTCACCTACAGCAGCAATGGGGCCCGGATCTTCCAGACAAACCCTGGATATATTTATAGGTCTGCAGCTCATTTTACCCTTCCTAGGGATAAGAAACAACACTGTAGAACTTCCAGAATTGCTTATTAATTCATAATGCCCACACAGAGTTTCCTGTACACATAAATCATGCCATAACTGTATTTCCATTGAGAATACCAGTCCCTTGGTTTCAATATTCTATAAATTTAAATACCTGAATATGTTGAATTGTGACCTCATACCTGAATGTGTGAAAACATCTTAATATATCCCATTGCCTACTTTTCTATTTGCCTTTTTCACAGGGAACTAAAACTTAAGCATATCTAAAAAGGAATCATTTTCCATTCCTTATTGGAAAGGCTTGGGGTGAATTTATGAATATTTTAGGTAATTGTTATTTCTTGAGCATTTTCATAGTTCTTAGAGGTCACCAGTTCTACAAATGTTTGTGAAATAGGACATTGAGATGTGAAGCTAATTTTTTCCTCTTTTTTCTCTTTTAGACTTATCAGGGTCCACAGAGTTTAGAAGAAGTCTGTGTATATCATTCTGGAGTACCTATTTTTCATGAAGGGTAACTTATACATGACTAATTAAAACTTCATGGTAGAGGTTAGAAGAGTTAATGTGCCTATAAACATTATTTGCCATGCAGCATTATTAGTGTTTTACTTACATTGTTAATATAATCTTTAGAAAAACCTAGAATGTGGGTTTTATCTTTTTACATATGAGAAAACAGTTACTACAGTGAAATGGCCATTGTGATTCATACCACATGTTTTTCCTTATTTCCTTATTTTTCAATGGAATACTCTATTTGGGCTGGATAGTTTTTAGTTGGAAGGACTGTTCTGTGCATTGCTGTACATTTAGAATCTTTGAGTCTGGCTAATATCTGTCATCAGTATTGTGTCATCCAAGAAAATCCACACTTTTCCACAGCCCTCAACTGAGATCTAGCCCCTCTTCCATGCTGTGTTGTAGTTTATAGAAATGCAGTAGCATGTTAAAGTCTTCCACTCTGTTAAAACCTTTGGTCATTATCACTTTTGGGGAACTTTATGAGGAAAGTGGAATGTGAGCAATTAGTGAAAAGCAGATTTGGAATTTTGTGATGGTTTTAAACATCTTTACTCAGGAGCTCCAGAACTACTACAATAAATGCCATTCTGGTTTTAAAATGATTAGTCTCCTGATAGTATTAACTCTTTAGTAATTCAGACTCTCTGTAGAATACTGAAGTTGCACATACTTATTTACCTTTTAAAATCACACTGTCATTGTGGTAGTTGTAAGGTTTTATTTCTGAAGTTTTTCTGTGATAATTTAAAGGATGAAATACTGGAGCTGTTGTAGAAGAAAAACTTCTGATTTCAATACATTCTTAGCACAAGAGGGCTGTACAACAGGGAAACACATGTGGACTAAAAAGGATGCTGTAAGTAGCATTTTCATAATAACATCGGGATATAGTTATCTGTCATTTTTTAAAGATTTAAGATTATTCTGTCTTCAGAAATTTAAAAAAAAAAGTTTTTCTCTCTTGCATAAAGGTTTGATGAGCCTAAAAATTAATTTGAGTCAAATGTCTAGAGCACTGCCTTTTAATCCAAGTGGCCGTTATGTGTGATGATGCAGATATGCAGGTTTTTGTGAAATACTGAAGTCTTCTGCCAGAATTGAAGCATGTGTTTCTGTAATTCTATAGGCTCTTCCCACGTTCTATTTTTGTTTGTTTGTTTTGTTTTGTTTTGTTTTTAAATCATTTTTCTACTCCTTCCATGTTACTAATCACTTCGACTTTGGATTCTCTTCTGGCCTCTTAAAACTTGACTCAGCCATTTACAGTGCAAAATCACTCCATCTAGTGGCCAAAGAGAAGGATGGCTGACTTGTTTCAATTGTCTTGAATGCCTCTGCTTGCTAGAGGGTACTTTATCGAAACAACAAAAACTTTAGTCCTTACTTCGCTGGATAGCTTTTTAAAAAGACATAGGCTATGCAAATAAGTGTCCAGAATCCCATTAAATTGTAAGAAGGCAACCAATTTATTGTCAGTAAGTGCACCTTAGCTCTTGTAATGTATTTTATAATAAATTAGTTTTTTGTGCTATATTGGCAGTAACAACCCTACTAACAATGAACCTTTCACTGTATGTGTCTTTTAACTTACAGAACAATTGTAAATTTCCAAATTGCTTTAGGGATTCATTCAATTCTGTATTTGAGTATTCTATATTTTCTGATTTTTAGTAACATGCTTTGGTATTATAAATATATCCTTCAAGTTACAATAACTTGTCTACCACAAAACTTGCAGGAATATTTTATTAGCAAAAAAACTTAGTAAAGTCTTTCTGTATTTTCTCCGAGGACCAAAATTCTGAAAGTTTTAGCTTAAAAAAATAAATGTTTTTTATTATATGCAGAAGTTTTCAGAGTATAACCCTTGGTGAAATAATGTTTTTGTTATATTTCAATGCATACACTTAATCAAGTATTAAGTGTCTGAGCTAGTAGCTAAGGACAAAAAATGTAAGTGATCCAAACAATTTTAAATTCAGTTAGCATAATTATACCAAAATGTAAATACTGCTTTTTCAACAATAGTGTCTCAATTATCATATGATCTCAGTGATATAAGGAATTTGAGAAACAAGACAGAGGATCATAGGGGAAGGGAAGGAAAAATGAAACAAGATGAAACCAGAGAGGGAGACAAACCACAAAAGACTCTTAATCCGAGGAAACAAACTGAGGGTTGCTGGAATGGAGGGGGTGGGAAGGATGGATGGCTGGGGGATGGACATTGGGGAGGGTATGTGCTATGGTGAGCGCTGTGAATTGTGTAAGACCTATACCCCTGAAACAAATAATACATTATATGTTAATTAAAAAGAAAAGAACAGTAGTGCCTCACAGTTTCCTGCATTATGTAACTAAGTTGCTTTCGTAAATTTATGAAACTAATCACAATTTGTCTCTTTTTTTAAAATAGTCCTTGATAAAGCAATGTTCTATTAGTAGGTAATAGTTATTTCTGTAATAATAACCCAAAACATTTCTTCCACAAATTATCACTTTTTTCTTCATTTTATTATTAGGGGAAAATAAACTATAACAGCAAATAGTAGATTGCTATAAGTAGTCAGTTCCAACTTGTAGAAACTGGAAATTTCAATATGTCGTCAACTTCCAACTTAAAGAAAATAAGTGGAAAATCTCAATGCATGAGGTTAAGATGTTATCTGGATTATTCCACTAAGCAAATGTCTTGGTTTTCATAGAATGTTTTTATGACTGTGCTTAGTGGATTTCAGAAATGTTAAAATAGGATAAAATTTAATCGGAGTTTTTAAGTTGCCTTTTTCAATGTATAGTGATGCTATGGCCCTAAAAGGAAAAAACACAAATGGAAGAATGAGCATGTTCTCCAACCACAAGATTATAAAGATTATTTGTATTGTGATATATTTTACTGTTTAAACCTTTTAGAGATTGTTTGCCCTTAAAAACATTAAGGGCTCAGTTGCACATGGTAATTTTTTAAAAAATTATTTGACTCAGATTCCTCTTTTTTAGAGGTTATGTGGCACTTTGTAAATTCATAAGGGTTTTCTTCTTTTACAGGGGAAAAAAGTTGTTCCTTGTAGACATGACTGGCATCAGACTGGGGGTGAAGTCACCATTTCAGTGTATGCTAAAAATTCACTTCCAGAACTTAGCCAAGTAGAAGCAAATAGTACATTGGTAAGTACACTAAATATCTTTGAGAAAAAAATGTCTTCATACATGATTCTCTATATTAATGTATTAAAAAATACTCTGGGTCAATTTTAAGATTCTTTTAAAAATCTTTCCCATTCGAAAAAGTAGTTTGAAATTACTGTCAGAAACTTTTGTAAATGAAAATTTCTGTATAAAATAGAATTATTTCTGAAGCATTCTGGAAATACTACAGTAGCTTAGAAGACTTTATTAAAAATATAGTACCTAGTTCTCAATATGAAACTTCAGTTAATTTTTCTTCTCTGTTAATGGTTTCCTCAAAAAAAAAAAATACACAATACTGGAAGTTTGTTAAAATAGCTTAAGGGTTTTATATCAGTATCTTCTTTATTTATAATCATTGTTTAAATCTTATTCCTTCAACTTGGATTTGATCAGTTAACTTTCTGTATATTTTTCAGTTAAATGTGCACATTGTATTTGAAGGAGAGAAGGAATTTCATCAAAATGTGAAATTATGGGGTGTAAGTATCCAGAATTTTTTTACTACTTCAAAATAAACAGTTTGTACAGTAAGAAGACCATACTTTAGAAATCAATGATACAAAATACGTAATATAACTTACCATTAATTCTTACTAAAAACTTTAAATCTGGGTATAAAAATGGCCTTAGATGCTCAGAGTTGTGATTATTAGCATAGACAAGACCGGTATTTTCCTCTGGGACTTGAAAAACAACATCGAGGCTTACCATCATTCTCTGGTATGTTGCAGGTGATTGATGTAACACGAAGTTATGTGACTATGACTGCAACAAAGATTGAGATCACCATGAGAAAAGCTGAACCTATGCAATGGGCAAGCCTTGAACTGCCTGCTACCAAAAAGCAGGAAAAACAAAAAGAAGATACAGCAGAATGAGTTGACAGGGATAGAAAGTCATTGCCTATTTCAGAATTCTTAGCTGTGTGGTAAAATGGTGGCTTGCTGCTGTCCTCTCTTGTTGCTGTGTTGTCTTTGTTGTTGCTGTTATTGTTGAATCTGGCAGTTCAGGGTCAATGGTAGGTTCTTAAAAGCCAAAGTCAGTTTATCTTTCTGTGCCTCCCATCTTCTTTTTGAGTTACCTAAGTTTGATTATTCATTTCTCCTCACTCGACAGAACTGTAGTTGGGTCCTTTACTTGAAAAGGTAGAAAGTAGCTCATGGTTACAGTATTTTTTCGTATAATATTATGTTGAGCAGAGAAGTGTAAAAGAACATTTGTTTTGTTCAGATCTCTTTTCTGTTACCCCATAATTAGTAAAGCAAGATGGAATGTCGGATTTTTAATTAGTTTTTTCATGAGTTTGTGTTCCTATAATACTTGAAAATCTTTAAGGAGGAGATAAAGCTCTGCATTGTTTTATCCTTGGGAAGGTTACTTTTTCTAGGAGGAATAATTCTGAGGTAGTGTAGTAGCTAGTTAAAGGGGAATATATGCATTGAATAACAAATTGGAATTTGTTTACAACTAATTGAATTAAAACATTATATCAGTACCTGTATTACTTGCCAAGCGCTATGATTTAAATGTATAGAAAACATTATAAGAGTAGAGAGGTATCAATTTGGCTAGAATTTGCCATTTTATTAAGACTAAGCAATAATGGTAAACATCTCTTTCCTGATTATTTTATAAGGTCTTTGTATGGTGTTATGACTAAATTGTATCTGACTAAATTGTATCGGATTTATAGCCTACACTCTTTTAAAATCTTTAGTTACATGTAAAGAGAAATTATATATCTGGCCTCCGTGATGGGAACCTTTATGTATTGAACCGTAGACTTAAAGGCTTATGGAAATAACATTAGGGTATCAGAAAACTAAATATTTAAGCTTTTCTTTATGACAAATATCTATTACATGTTAAATAAAATAGTTGAATTCTTTTAGAGTTTTTTTTTTTTTTTTAGACTTTCATGAATACCTTGACAATTCCAGGTGATACAATGTTGATTGTATATATACTTCATTAGCTACAGGTATCACAGGCTTAGATTGTTTATGCTATTTGAACCCATTAAAGATAGTTTACTTTTTGAGGCAATGCAGAGCTCACCAAGAAAACTAAAATTAAGAAATGATTGAAGGCCAGAACTTTGGCAAAACTTAAGAAATTTGGGTATGAATTATGCTAATGTAGATTAAAATGATTATTTCCCAAGCCCCTTGAGTGTTTTTCTTTTATTCTGACAAAGAAAATTTGCATAAGTACAGTTTTAGAAGTACAGGTTAATAAAGAGTATGTCTCACTCAACTAGCAAATAACTACTAAAGGTAGTTATGTAATTATTAAAGGATTTAGCTCTGTAACAAATAAAGACATAAAAAACTTGGCAACTGGGCTTTCATGATACATGGTATTTTAACAAAATACCATGGAAACATTTCAGAACAACTGGGCCAAAAGAGAGTATATAAGTTTTTAGTACTTGGGGTTGTATTTAAATTTATCTTTCATAATTTAAGGACTTGGGTTCATTTGGAGACATAAAATCTTATTTATTGTTTAAGGGAGAGGTTGATAGTTGATTTGATTTGAGGTGATGATTAATACACCTTTTTTAATGTTTTCTTCTTGAGACTTTTCCCCCCTAAGCAATATCTTAATGTGTTACATGCAATTGAACTATTATTTAAAGCAAGTGGATTATTCACCTGAGAGTTAGTTACAAAGCACTGACTCTGTTTATGTGTTTTTGTGTATGTGTGTGCGAGAGATGCAGCTTATATATTCGGTTACATTAGTGGTTACATTAGTGACCATCCTATTTCCTCTCTTACTCCTATGAACCTCTGATTTGTTGCCCAAATAAAAATATAAATATTTTTATCTTAGATTCGTACATAAAAGGACAGTTATTGTTAAGTAGAATTTGTGTCACTTTATCTGTCAAGAAAATTAAAAATGTTAAGTGTATTGTTTCTCTAGAAATATGTTTGTCTTTCATAGCATTCAAAGTAATTATTACAGCAAAGCAGTGAAAACTAAGTTTATTATACACTTGGTAACTAATCTGACAGCTAAACTCAACATGGGAAATAGAAAGTACTATTTTTTCTTGTTCAGTATCTTTGCTAGTATAAAGGTAGTAAGGTCCTAAGAGTTGGAGTTTTATTTTTCTTAACCTGTTATCTTGAGATAATTTTAGATTTATAGAAGAATTGCAAAAAAAGTACTTAGAGAAGTCTTTATTTCCTATAGTAATCTTTGCCTTGTATTAAAATCTTATGTGACCATAGAACATGTGCAAAACTAAGAATTAGTACAATAGGTACAATATTACTACGTAAATTAGAACATTGATTTTGACCATCCTTTTTTAGTGGAACACTTGAAGGGTAGTTCTTAAAACCTGCCCTAGTTTTATTGTAATAATTTCAGCCAGTAACTTGTAAACCATTTAAAAATATAAATTGAAATCAACATACCATAGAAATGATTATATAGGTCAGTGATGTAACTTCTTGTAACCATATACTGGCAGAGAACTAATGATCTATTTTATCATTTTATGCTAGAGATTTTAATTCTTATTAAGTGTAACCTGTTTGGTTTTGTTTAGACAATTCCTTAACCATTTAAGGGTGAAGAAAAACCTAAAGAGTTCTTGCAAATAATTGAAAGTGACTTCGGGGTATTGCTCTGCCACTCCTTACTTTTTAAAAAAAAAACGTCAGCCATTCCCCAGCCTGAAACTGCATGACACCCACAATAAATAAATTTTAAAAATCTCATTTATGAGTTCTGGTATCAGTTTTAAGGCATTTGGGTTTTTTTTTTTTTTTTTTTTAAAGTAACTACCACGTATTTTTAAGTTGTCTGTTAGAACATTAACATTAGGGTTTTGTTTGTTTCATTGCATATTAATTTTGAATAGACATTCATATTGGGTATTGTTTTTATTCTTTTGCCTGTATCATAAATCTGTGGCATTAATTCTGAAATGCAAGCTAAGTCTAGCTTGTTTTTAAGTTTTGTTAATATTTCCTTTCATTTATTTTAATTCTGTCGATAGGCAGTTGATTTTTTTACCTGATTTCTTCCTTAATGCCTAAGTACCTTGGAACTTAAACTCATCTGGAGTTGTTGCATGACTTGCCTTTTTTATTTAAATGTAAATGCCTGGGTGTTTTATACACATAGCATTATCTCTGAAGTACTGAGCTTGCGGTGTTTTTCTTCTGCATCGTTACTATTTGATTTTAAGTTTTTATATAGTTCTTAAAGAATTCCTTCAAGAACAGTTTCTCCATGGGGCATGTTTTAATTAAATGTTAATTAATGACGTTTCTTAGTTTTCCAATTTAGTAGGCCACCTTTAATTAAAGTCCATTAAAGTGAAATAAAACTTCCAGCCTTAAACATTTTTATGTTGATTAAAAATTATGTCAAAATAATTTGGTTTCCTTTTTTTTTTTTTTTTTTTTTTTTTTTGACCAAGCAGGTATATTGCCCAAATGATTGGATTGTTAAAATATCTCTAAGACTTTGCTAATTGAAGTAAGATTACTATTAAGCCTGGAAGAGGGAAACATCTGTGAACCTGTCGTACTTTTCTGTCATCCTCCACAAATGAAACTAGATGTGTATAGTAAGGTTGATGACTTTAAAATAGTGTGGTCCTTTCCTGCAAATGTTAATTATAGTTTACAGTTCCATATTCATATTTTTTTTGTGTGATTGATTTGTTAATGTCTGTATACTCTTGTAGACTGACTAACCTTGACTGTTTTGGCCAACCATAATAATGCCACTTTCTAGTATAGTGCTTGGCGTATTGATTGGCTTTTGTAAATATCAAGAAGATCCAACAACCCCCTTCTTATGGGCCACTCACTGTTTTAAGGACTTCAATGAATATGAGCTTACCCCTAATGATAACTCTGTGAGGTAGGTTCTATCATTATATTACAGGTGGGGAAAGTGATTTATTGCATAGGTTAAATAACTCGCCCAAGTCAAAGCTAGTGAGTTTATAGAAAGTAGTAATTTTAAGCTCAAACAGCCTGGCTCTGTGTTCTGTGCTTTTAACTGCTCTGTGCTGTTTGTGTCTGCCACTTGGAGTAATAGTTTCCATAAAACATTGGCACATAGCATGGAAAATTGGTAACACTGTGTTTGGTCACCAGGAACAAATTTTTAGTTTCATATGTTTTGTTAGAAAATAAGTTTATAAAATATGTAGTCCTTTTGCCTGGATTGTTTTAGTTATAATAATAGATTATAAACTCATCATTTGTGATTTGACAACTCTTAGGTCTCTAGTTTCTCTCAACAGCCTCCAAAGAAGTTTCAGAATCCTCAGTTTCAGAAACAAGCGTCCATTGTCTTTTTGATAATGGTATGTATCCTGTATATGTAGCTTTACAGATAGGAATTCATATCTGCATGTTAGAAAAATCTGTAATGAATCAGATTTGTCTGTCTTTCCCCTTTAGTATGAGACTTGCTTAAAGCAGTTATATAAAGTGCCTGCAACATAAGATGCCAGCAGAGGAAAGACAAATAAGCAAGGGATCATTTGAGGTTTCTGACTTTCATCTTCTAGGCTAAGCCAGTGACTAGCAAAATACCATTTCTAGACCAGCAGGATCAACATCTCAGAATTTGTTAGAAGTGCCAATTCTGGGTCCTCAACCTCAGACCTGCTAAATCAGAAACTCTGGGAATGAGGCTCAAAAATTTGCAGAAAAATGTTGATGTACAATAAAGTTTGTACTAGCAGCATGGAAGTGTGATTAGGTTTGCATTTTTTTTTTTTTTAACCTCTTCTCAGCCTAATTTCTTTTAAATTTACTTTCTCTTTTAGAACAGTTTTGGATTTAAAGAAAAATTATAAAGATAGTACAGAGAGTTCCCATATATTCCATATCCAATTTCTTCTATAATTAACATTGATAAATTATAGGAGATAAAAATTGTTAGTATGATAAAATTGCTAGAATTAGTGAACCAGTGTTGATACATTTTAATAACTAAAATCCATACTTTATTCACATTTCCTTAATTTTTACCTAATGTCTTTTTCTGTTCCAGGATCCCATCTAGGATGCCACATTACATTTAGTCATCATGTCTTCTTGGGCTCCTCTTGGTTTTGAGTTTCTCAGACTTCCTTCAAAACCCTAACAGTTTTGAGGAGTACTGACTGGTCAGGTATTTTGTAGAATGTCCCTCACTTGGCATTTGTCTTTTGGTTTTCTTAGGGTTGAATTTATGTGTATTGATAAAGACAGTCACAAGAAATCAAGTGTCATTCTCATTGGTGGAATCACGGGTACATACCATCCAGTAAAGGATTGTTTAGGCTTATACCCTGAATATGCAGTATGTGCCACTGAAAGAAAAGTTACTTGCCAGAAGAATGGGGAAAGAAGGCTGCTGGGTTGACAAAACATAAATTCACCACAAACTATCTCTCCCTTGATTCTGTCAGTTCAGTGTTTAAACAATTTAGTTAGGCATGATATATTCTTAAGGTGGAAGAGAATGTAAAGATTATGTGTGTCAGCAAATCCACAAATTATAAACATTCACTGCATTGAGTTTATTAGAATTAGTGGGTTTCTTGAAATTATAATTGTGTGTAAAACTTTAAAAGGCTTCCTACAAATGAAAGCTAGATTCTAATAACAGACTAGGCTCAGACTACAGACATTATATTGAAGGCCAATTTGGACTGGTTTGATACCTTAAGGATTCCTTCCAGGGCACTCCCCCACCTCCATAAAACTCCTTAAATTATGAGCAAGAAAAGCCTGAGTTGGAGGCAGAGGAGAGGAGTAAATTTAAGGGAGCAGAAAGCCAGTATCAGGATAAGGAAAATTAGAACAATGGTATTCAGTTAGGTGGAATTATAGTTCCATTTTTCAAGCAGGTAATTTTAAACC